ATTAAAATACTTTCTTTTCTCCAGTGAAAATAATAGATAAATAGGTGAGATTACTACCCTAGCAAGATCCCAGAGAATGTCCAAAGCACTAGGTAAGAAAGATAAAAGAACCCTGGACTCAGGGTCAGCAGGTGGCGTGGTGGTTAAGGAGCCACCCTCCCACATGGCCAACCTTGGTTCGAGTCTAGGATCTGGCAACTTAAAAATCACACCAGCTTTAAAAATCACACTGGATTCCCAAAATCGCAGGAGGAGAATGGAGGAGAAGGAATTTCTGCGTGGCCATCCCCCATGGGGGGATTTCTCACTTCTTCACACTGTCATTCTCTCTCTCCTGCCAGTGCAAGTGCCCTAGGGCAAACCTAACAAAACAAAACAAAAACCTGGACTCATCTCAGTCCCATGAGATTTCCAATACCCTGCAGAGTTAAAACAAAGTTGTGATTTTTAAGGGAAAAACAATGTTCCAGTTAATTTGCATACCTGGTTCAGTTTTCCCAAAACTTTCTGATTTCCTCCGCTTGGGTAAGAAGCATGCACATGTGAACAGGTAAAAAGAACCTGGAAAGTGACAGCTCAAACTCAGCTTGCTCCCTCTGACCCCCCCAGGACGAGTGCTACTGACTCAGCAAGCTGTGAGACACACCTCTGAGAGCCATGTCATGGGCAGCTAGGCACCATAACAGCTGTGATGCCATCAGCACTTTCCATTGCTTCTACTGCCCAACTTGGAGACCAGCTTGCTTTCCTTTCCAAAGCCTAAATTTCACAACGTGAGATTTATAACAAAAAGAAAGAGGCCATCAAATGCCTTCGCCGCCCCCACCACCTATCAAAATTTCCTCAGAATTTCACTTTTGGAATAAAATTGAGTTCTGTTATATTGCAAGTGCCTCAAGGAAATAGTCTATTACTTCTTAATAATTACTCCTTTGGATCCCCAAACGGATTATAAACTCCCTGGGAACAGCTACTCTTGTCTCTCTCAGTCACTATCTCTCTATTTTTTTTTTTTTAAGAATTCTCTTATTTATCTTTATTTATTTATTTATCTTAATTTGACCAGAGAGGGACAGAGTAAGAGACAAAGAGAGAGGAAAAGTGAGAAAGCAAGACACCAGGTCCGGGATTCAAACTGCAATCGACCATGTGGGAGTCCAGCAGCCTTAACCACCATGCCACCTACCAGCCCCTCAGTCACTGTCTCTACAGTACCCAGGAGAGAACCGGATAAATCTGGAATTGACTTCTGGCTCCATTGCTTATTTAAATGTTCTAAGCCTGAGTTTCCACACCTGAAAAGGAAGATATCAATAAAGCCTCTCACAGGGTTGCAGTAAGGCTGAAATAGGAATGCCTGTAATGTGCTTAGCCAGAGGAAGTACTCCAGAAATGCGTCCTCATTCCCATGCCATCACCACCTTCCTCTGTACCCGTGGGCTCATCACATACTATCAGTTCCAAGTTCATGCAAACAGGGAGACAGAACTGCCTTCTAATGCCAGGATTATCAATCACGAATAAGACAATACACTGAAACTTTGAAAAATAAAGGCCTTCAACAAATCCCAGATATTTTTTGCTTTGTACTTGAAGCTTGCATATGTTTGATCATAGATGACTCAGCATTAGAATATCAAAATAAAAAGCCTGGACAGTCAAACTTCAAAGCAGTTATTCTCAAATACTTCGGTGCCTGTCGTAGATGATGGACTTTATGAAACACTGTGTGTGTGTGTGCGTATGTACAAATGCATGTACACACGTGTGCAGAGGGAAATGAAAAGGGTGGAAGAGGGAGATCTCATTAATAACTAGCTTAAAGGCTAGGCTGTAACCATTTTTTCACAGCTGAGCTTAAATCTGTTTTCTTCCCTCAACCCTTCAGATTCATCTAGCAGGCAAGCAATGGCCATTGTTCACTCTAGCTGCTGTGTCACACAAGGCCGTTACAAGTGCGTATGGCCCCTTTGTGGAACTCAGACAAAGGACACACAGAACAGAGGTGGGTTTCGATCCCCACTTACTCCTGAATTGGGCTCCCTTGTGCAAGGGCACAACCACACCTAGCAGTCACACAAGTAAGCACAAAAATCTTCACACATTTAACGGCACACCTCCATACAGCTGTTTACCCGCTACACATACACAAATGTGGCAGAGGGAGATAACGAGGACTACACTGAGTAAATGGAGGAAGACAGCCCTCAAAACCAAAAATAGAGAGTTTCAAAGAGTTCGAGAGACAAACCAGGTACCTTTCCTCTTCCTCAGTGTCAGCTACCCAGCACGGAGACATTGCCACCAACTGCAACTTTGGAGATAGTAGGCAGACCTTTCAACCCTGCAAAATTCTGATCCCTGGCAAAGCAATGGTCTCTCCCAAATACCCAATATTTATAGACAAAGGACGAGAAGTTATTTTTGTTTTACTACTGTATATACATTTATCATGCTAAACTTTACCGTCCTTAAGAATAAGGAAGGACATGTTGGGGCTGGCAGGAGGCATGGCGGTTAAGACACTGGACTCCCACATGGCCTGCTGCTGTAGTTCAAGTCCCAGACCTGGTGGCTTGCTATCTCATTTTCCCTTTCTCTCTGGTCAAATTAAAAACATAAATAAATAGTAACAAATAAAATTAAATAATTATTTTTAAAAATAAATAAAGCCATGTTATTATCATTTTAACACTTGTACACCTAGCCCTCTTTTTTGTAGAGATTTTTTGTTATAGGGTGCATGCATTCACTAGAGAGACAGAGAGGCCGAAAGCGACCATCTCCCAGAGAGGATGGTCATTCATCAATCCCTTCTCCTCCACTCTCCTCTCAGGATTTTGCGCACATACACACATGTGCCTGGCATGAGTTCAAGCCCAAATCGGGACTCAAACTGTGGTCAACTACATGAAAGTTCAGTGCCTTAACCACTAGACAGCCTGTTGCCCCCCCTAGCCCTTTTTTAAAAAGATTTATTTAATTTTTCATTTATTTAATTTGCTATAGGGCACATGCACTCACCAGAGGGAACAAAAGCAAGCTGTCAGGTCCATGACATGAACTGCAATCAGCCATGTGGGAGTCCAGAACCTTAACCACCATGCCACCTGCCTGCCAATACCTAGGCCTTTGATCTGCATAACATGGCAGCTCCAATAGCTATTTAACAGAAATTTCAGGTTAAGTATGGTACCTTCTCCACATGAACAAGGAGTCAACCTAAGACAGTACAAACTGCTGCATTGTTTTTAGTAAGTTTGGAAGCAATTTATATGTCAATTTTGGGACCAGCAGATGGTGTAATGGTTACGTCACTGGATTCCCATGTAGTTGACTGCAGTTCAAGTCCCAGACCCGGTGGCTTAAACTCACGCTGGGTACATGTGCATGCGTGCCCAAGATCCCAAGAGGAGAATGGAGAAGGGATTTCTTGCTTTAGTCTCTCTGTCTTTCTGGCTAGCACCCACACCCTATAACAAAAACCTCTCCAAAAAAAAAAAAAATGTCAATTAAAGGGAGCATACATGAAGTACAGTATATTTATACAACAGAAAATAGCATGAAATAGAATTTGAGCTACCAGCTCAAATTGAGGAACTCACTACATGGTTAAGTGGCAAACATGATGCAGATTAGGAGATAAGCAAGTTGCAGAATGATACAAATAGTATACTATTTAAATACGGTTTTAAAACTCTCAGCATTACCCAGCATTATCTTTGCCTTAGAATTTGTTGTTACAATCCTTCTTATTCCTTGCATGCATACTAAAAACCTAGTAAGTATTCACTATAGGGACTAGCAGTTAGCATAATGGCTATGTTGCTGGACTCCCATGTAGTGGACCGCAGTTCAAGTCCCTGACCCAATGGCTTAAACTCAGGCCAGGCACAAGTGTGTGTGTGCCCAAGATCCCGAGAGGAGAATGGAGGAGAAGCGATTGCGGTGTGGCCATCCACCCTGGGGGGGTTGATTTCTCGCTTACTATCTCTCTGTCTCTGACTTTCTGGCGAGTGCACGCGCCCTATAGCAAAAACCTCTCAAAAAATTTTAAGAAAAGAAACATTCACTCTAAAAAATGTATAAAATTAAGGTTAAACGGGTGTGTATGGGGGGAATCCAGAGTTAGTCACTTCGCCCTTGAAGGTAAACTGGCGTGTGCTCTATTCTCCATTCCACTCACCAAGGCACTTGATTGAGCTCAGTGCTCTCTACCAAATGGAGTGGACAACGCCCTTCTTGCAGAAAGAAGTGAAATAATGCATATAAAAGCGTTATACAGAAGGTCTTAGATTTGTCTTTTTGCCTGATTGCGCAATAAGTCATGGTAATAATGAGCTACAGAGGGAAAATGCTGAGCTTGCACCTTTGCATCTAATTTACTATATGGCAAAAAAATATCAAAGAACACAACAGGAAGGGGCAACCTTCCTCTTCCCAGTGGCTGATTCAGTTGTCTCTTTTAGCACAGAGTGGGGTGGAGGGCCCCAAACCGCAACTCCCTCTCAGAGCTCTCTTGGGAACTCCCGTTGACCTTGGGATAAATCTCATCCACCTTGCCAAACTCCTGGGCCAGCACTCCGGGCCAAGAGACACACCCCTGTGCAGCCCTGGAGGCAGATGGTCAACAACCCCGCAGTCAAGCTCTGACAGACCGTAAAAATGACAGTGCGACGTTGTTGCGGACGGGAGGTTCTGTTTTCAAACCTTAAGAGGAAAGTCTACTGCACTGTTAGCGACCACTCTGCACAGGAAAAAGAGGAAGACCTGGGCAAGTAAGTTGTGCTACTTGTCTTCAAGCACATAGTCTCAGCTTCTGAATTCCATACAAAGCCAGGTACGCAGAGGCCCCAGGACCTGAAGGCTCGTTCTGCAACCGGACAGACCCACCGCTCACTGCCTCCCCACACTGCGGCGCGGACCCACAACCCGCACGGGGGATGCGCTCGGGGACCCGCGCCTGTCCCCTCGGTCCCGCAGCGGGTGCAGCGCCTCACCTGTCTTGAAGACCATCTTGTCATCGTCCTTGGACCCGAAAGTCTTCAGCATGGACACGAAGAGCACCCCGCAGGCGTTCTGGATGCCGAACACCGACCCGTTGCACCACATGGCCGCCAGCAT